TGGAAATATGCATCTCACCCACAAATACTGTTCTTATCAGCAAGGGTCATAAAATAACAGGATTACACCTCCAGTTCTTACCTAGTTCTAAGAATTTACCTTTTTGGCAGTGGTCCTAGACTTTTGCCAAGGGAGCCTTATGGCCTGACTGTCAAGCCTGCACCTTCCATTGCCAATTTTTTGCAAATAGGCATTAATAAGCTTTGTGGAAATCTACACAATCTATAGATACTTTACACAAGAGGCAGGATACCCATTTCAAAACAATCCTCTTTTTTGGGGGGGTCTTTACTTTCCTTTTTACTTTCTTTTGAACGTCCAGGTTTATCATCTCTTCCTTTACATACCCAAGTTATTTCACTTAAAAATGGCAAACTTCACAAGAAAACTATGCTTGTAGTATTACTTTTATCTCTGCCCAAAAATATCTCTACTTCTAAGCCTTCTAGGCAATTAGCATTTTGACATGGGAGGTCTTCATTTCATGTGTCAGCTAGTTTCTGTGTTCACTGGTTTCACTGCCATGTGATCATCAACCACACTTTTTATCTCCGGGATTTCCACTTCATTCGTGTATCTAACTTGACTTGCGTACAACAAGTTAGTATATTTATTCCTTGCTGTATGTCTCACATGTGACAATATCACATGTCCTGTGTCCCCTGGCTGCCACTCACTTGTTTTGATTACCTGTGAAAGACTCTGCCATATGTTGATGTCCTTGCTGCCAATGTGACTTCCACACTATCACCTCTTCCAGAAAGTGGATGAAACTTCCATCAGGCCTGCTGAGCAATGAATGATACAGAGCCAGCAGAGAGATGAAGTCATGTCTCTCACATAATGATGATACAAACGCTTCTGACATTAGCTACAATGGAAACATCTCTCGTGTAATGTTCTGTTAGATAATTTGTTAGCAGGGAACATGTATCGGTATTCATTACTGCTTTATACATCCTGCACTCACTGAGCACTCAGCATGAGAAAGATTAAATAGCTCTGCTAAATACACTGTCTCAATGCTAATGACCTGTTCAGCTACTTTTCAGTCACATCTTAAGCTATTCAATGCTTTTTCTACAACTTTTCCACACTTTCTTCATCAAATTTATCTGTAAATGTGCACCACCCATGCCAAGCCCAAACCTATAGTATGTGCACTCAAAATATATGCAGGTGTTTTCTTCAATAAGTGATATATCATACGAAGACAGAACGAAAAAAGAATGAAAGTGAAAAAAAGGTTAACCTTATTTGCTCAAAGATATCCATAAATGATTTATTCAGGGAATTGGATGGCAGAAGGTTAATTTTCTAGCTAACACAATGGCTTTATGTGTGCAGGAACATCTGCAAGCTATATTTTGCTGTCAATGTTTTTGTAAAAAAGCTGAAGAAGTTGAAACCCCGGGAGTTAGAGGATACAAGCAGTGGTAAAAAAAGCCATCATCTGGAATCTTGTATGAAAATATTCACCACATCATAGACCAACACCCAATTCCATACAGTATATATTATGATAGAGCAATACAAGAAAAGTAATCTTAGGTGATATTCTTTCATTCTGGAAGCTACAGAATAAACTCAGGTAAACTTCTTGGTGATGAAGTACAACATACCTAAGAATGATTTCTTTATTAAAAATTGTAATACAAATATGATTGGAAAGGCCGTTTCATAAAAAATTGCCATAATCTGTTGTCTAAAATTAAATTCCAGAGAGTGAAACAATCTGTAATTGTAAAGACTATAAGGATATTTAAACACATGTAGAAGAAGCTCGAACATCTTCAGATATATTCTCCTACATATGTTTTATTTGTTTGCTTTAATGTTAGCATATATAAAATACTTCTACAGAAAAAGCTTACGCTGCAGGTAGACATAGAAGGTGGACAGGGTTGCCAAGTCAATTTGCTGGAAAACTGTAGGAAACTTGTGGTGTTATTACTCATATAGGTTTTTCTGGATAAAAGCAGACACGTTTAGTTATCTAATAAGTTTTGTAGGGCTCTGTTATTATTTTTCTTAAGTGTCTTGAATCCTTGACATAAAAGAGGCTCAAAGATTATGCATTTTGAATATTTGAATTTCCATTTTCTTCCAAAACTTTATTTTCTGTGAGAATTCTCACAAACTTTCTGTTAAAAGGAGACTTTTGTCCTAATAATGAAAAGTTGTAAGCAACTCTGTGAGTTGCTTAATGTAGAAAATCCTTGTTACAGCTACAATGCCCTTACAGATGCTCTTGTGTGTATGACCTCTCCAGATGCACAACAGCTTGTCAGCCTTTCTGCAGCCACGATTGTCAATTTGATTCACACTGATCCCTCCTTCATGGGTTATCTTAAAATAGCACAGTATAAATGAAATCTTGCAATTATTACAAATACTCAGGTGTTATGGCAAGATGGCCTATGCTGATTTGGCCCGGAGAACTTGTGTGGTTGATAAATATTTTCTGAGGACAATTGGCCCTGTGCATACAGTCGCAGCAACACGCAGCTTGTTGTTGAAAGAGTAGTGATAGCTGGTCCTGCTGCTGTCCTTTTTAAACTAAGTGATAAACAGCACAGGAAAAATAGAGGTTGGAGGGAGAAGCTGAAGGAAAAGGAGATACCATATAAAGCCTTGCTGGCCCACAGCCATGCTACCTTTGGCTTGCCAAATTGCCACAGCTAGCCATCAAGGCCTTCCCTTTTTTCCTTTCCTCCCTTTCCTGCAGTGAGTCACTCCTGAAGGCATTAACTGGGTTATTCTGTGAGCTGATGAAACACACTGTGTACTCTCTTAATCTGTTTTCTGTTCACCATTACATAGTGTACAAAATTACTTAATATTGCTTTTCTAGATTTGTAAACATTATTCTCACACCTTTTTAAATAGTCCCCTATTACTGTAATTATGAACATGTTGTGTTTGCACAGCCTGAGAAGTGTTATGTGTTACAGAGACAAAAAGTAGCTGTTCTTTTGTTGTGAGAGAAAAATAATATTCTTCATTTAAACTCAGTTTGGTTTAGTGGGGTGTTAATGCACTGAAGCCGATATTATCAAGAGGGTAGCTTTACTTAAAGGGCAACAGGAAGGAAAATCATGTTAAATTGTGGAAACATTGCATTTTTGCAGAAGCTGATTATTTAAGCCAGAAATTTAGGAAACATGGAACTGATGACATCATATATTCTCTCCAGTCTCTAGAAATGATTAAATATGTTAGATAAATCAAAGTATCGGTCACACTGAATATACAGAAAAAATATGCTAGTTTCCAGTGACAACACACATTCTGTAATAAAGAAGACTTGCAATATCCCATGTATACCAAAGAAAACAAGAGAAGGAGATAGCCAGAATTTGCATCAGGCATCCTTCCTATAGGTTTCTTTATCCATGTGCAGGCTGAGGGTCATAACTAGGACTTGAGTACTGGGAAGAGTAGAGGTTAGAAACTCAGGAATCATGTACTATCCGATAGTACTTTTCTTTCTAGATTTGCTTTGCAGTTGAGTTGCACCTTTAAGAGATCTATGTGCTTTGACATCACAACAATGGAAAGCTAGACAGTTAAAGTATTTTAGGTCTCCTTGAGCTTCTTGTAACCTAATAGTTCCTCAGTCTATAGGAACCTTACACTAACAGATGAAGAATCTAAATGAACTATAAATGTCCAGGCCTTTATTAAATAAAGCTTAGTGTGAGAGAAAAAAAATCACCTACACACTTATTTCCAATTCTAATAGCTACTTTAATGCTTTTCTGTCTCTTCTCTCTGCTGAGGTTTCTATTCTCTGCTCAGTTTTCCTTTTGCATTTTTTTTTTATTTGATGTACTAGATGCTCTCCTAAGTGACACATTCCAACCACAGTCACTGAATGTGACAGCCATGCTGTATCTAGTCATGAAATGCTCTGCTCAGGCACCTGATAGCATTTCAGAAAAAAACCTCTCTTGCTCTAAAACCAATGAGAGGTGTTTAGCTTAGGTGAATGTAACTAGACTGATAATTGCAGAATGATTGATAAATTAAATAGGAATACTATTTTTTGTATTGTGAAACAATTTTGAGTATTTTTGCAATTCAACTATTTCAAGTTTCTAGATGAGATTTCACAAAATATAAACAAAAAATCCAGACAAAATATAAACCTCATTTTTAATGACTGTAAACTCTGTAAAATCCCGTTTTCTGAAGGATAGAATAAATCCTAGTTCAAGGATCTGTGTTTTAAGGAGAGAAAGGTGGGACTGAATTGAAGCTTACTGTGAAGCATCTTCAACCATCCTGGAAAACTGAATTCAATTTTGCAGAGTTCTGTTACTTTTAAGATTATCTGAGAGGATTATTTGTATTTCTAGCTAAGCTCCAGGAAGCATATAATACATATAGAGTGGAGTTATAAAGTTGGGATCCTGTTAATCGTGTACTTGGCATGTGTGCTTTTAGGACAGCACTTGTGTGATTTTGGTCCACCATTTGTGATCTGTTTGAGGATTTCTGAGAATAAAAAAGCTATATATAAACTTAAGATAATATTATCAGATGAAGGTCTGTCAGATTCAATAATCTTAGGTAGACAAACTGAGCTCCTGTGTACCACTTTGTGGTTTTAAGTTTGAAAAATAGCAGGTTGCAAAAAATAAAAAGAACCTCTCTCCAAATTTATCATTGCCCTATGTCCTAGGAGCTCATTCAGCATTATTTATTCAAGATATCTTGTTGAGAAAGTAAATAATAAAAAATCAAAGTGACACATTTTACAGAATATAGTGCTTTCTAGGTTGAAGAAAATGAACTAAAATTGCATTGTAAATGCACAGTTACCATTAACAGTATTGGAAACCTGGTGTTTAACAAACCAAGAATGACTCCAGAACTACACCTCTGTAATCAGATCTTCAAATGTTTTATCTCTAACATAAACTATATCAGTGAGCACCGTATCAGCAATGCAAGCCTGTAAATATCTCACTAAGAATGGAGGTGAGCATACTTACTACGTCAGCACGATAGCCACGGCATCATTTAGGACACTCTCTCCAAACAGGAGTGTGTACAAATCTGTATCTACATGCAGCTCATGGAAAATAGCAAGAACTGTCACTGTATGAAGACAAAGCAAAATGAGTTTGTTATTTTCATATTCCTCTGGCAGTTCAAGAAATAAAGCAATGTTAGAATATGCCTTTTGAGAAGTCCAGTCCTATTTATTGCCCAAGCGGATAACAATAAGTTAAAATGGATCAAATGAAGTATATAATCCAGCAAGTCTACGAGTTTTGATGCTTCAGCCGAGCTAGGAAGAAACTTTCTTTTTCACACAGAGAATCATGAATAAAATGAAAATGTCGCAGCATATCTTACTGTGCATAAAGTATTAAGATTTTGTGACCAAGGAGAAATAAGGGTGCTGAAAAGACTTGGGTTTTGCCATGGACTTTGTGTGCAATGAGTAGTAGTTTACCTGTTTTAAGAAGGATATATAATAACACTTATCTGTCTGTTCATGCATAATAACCTCATACCCTGTCCTACTAGCAGCATAATGACTTTCACCTGAGGTATAGCATATCTGTAGTCATGAAGCTCTCTCATCCAGATTTGGATATCTGATACTTGTAAGCCATTTTAAGGTTCCTTCAGCATATCACTAATTTAAGTCGTTACCTCCTCCTTAGTTATATGCTATATTTGATTGTTATCTTACCAGTGAAATAGAAAAAATAGAATGTGTTGAATTTAAATTGAAGTTGGATAAATAATTTAGACATACATCCCCAAGGGCATTTAGATGCTTGGCTGATATCCAGGTAATTAAGTCCTATTGATATTAAAGAACACCTTATTTGTTTTATGCCTCAGTTTTCTTATCTGTAAACAGGAGATCGCAGTCCATCCCAAGATTCACCTAGCACTTCATAATCTCCAAATGAAGGTGGCTATCTGTGTGCTGTGTTGATATTATTATTATTTCTTTGCATGGACAAAGCAGAGCATTCTCTTTTCAAACAATTTAATGCAAAGGCTCCCAATTATTTGTATGGTTAAAAATTACATGTTAACTCACTGCTTCACTGGTGCTCATTCTAGTACATAATTGTGCAATTGACTCAATCTTTGTAGCCCAGGGATCCCAAAGATTAGGAGTGCTTCTCAGATGCCACATTAACATCTGACGTTTCAGAAATGAAAATTACTTTTACATTGAGATGGTTGCTGATAATTCACAGAAAAACATGAACAGGTGATTATGCTTTGTCTTAATAACATTTTTTGGAACTTTGAAATCATTGCTGATAAGATTTTCTAATGGCACTTAAATGTCTGTTTAATCTGAAAATCAGTTTATAAACCCAAAGTAGATTCTCAGTTCTCCTGTGAGATTTTATGTCAAAGTGATCTCTGTTGATGTGTTATCTTTGAAGAATTTTGGAAGTGTTATTCTACAGAAGACAATCTGGGAGATGTGCGTAGCTGAACGTTTGCTGATATAGCTATATTTAAATTAGCTAGTTATATTTAACCATCCTGGTAATCTCACCCATCTACTCCCAGTGCAGTTATAATTTAAACTAGGAAGAGAGCTCTTTCTCCAGGAAGACACAAAGGTGTAGGAAGAATTTTTATTGGCAATAGATACCTTCATGGTTCAACAATACCAATATTCAGGTTTTTGCTTGATTAGCAAAAGCCTTAATGTACTAAATTTGGACTCAATTTAGATTCCCATTCTTACATGTCATTGGCTTGTTTTCTACAACTATTTTCCACTTCCAGCTTTTGCTTATTAGCTAATTAGTTTGGGCTCACATTAATAGTCCCTGAAATAATGATAGAAGGAAAAGAAAATTGTACTCAAAGTCCAGCGTACTGTTGGTATGTATGTGTAGCAGGCCAAGCCAATTAAACAGACACCTACACATTCCTCTCCTTCCTCTTGCCTCCTAAAAAAATCAGCTGTATCTTTTTGCTTTCTCTTCCAACTCTATCACAAAAATCTGACTTAAAATCTTTTCAAATGAAAGTGGAATAATAAAGCAAGCAACACAATAATGAAGCAATTGTCTTTTCTGGGAGAGACTGTCCAGTTCACCCATTTCTCCCATTCCCAATTGCATCTTCTTTACAGCATTGCCTGTACCTGACTGAGTACTTCTAGTTTCTTCTCTGTCCCTGTGTTTTCCTGGCCCAAGACACAGCAAGCTTCAGCCATACTACTGATGACAGATATTTGTCTGATCTGTTTTTAAATGGAATGATGTTAGTTCCAGAGAGGAGGGGAGACTAACCCACTCTTCAGTATTCATGCAGTTTATAAATGCAGTTATTCCTCAATTACTAACCTAAATCTCCCCTCTTTCTCTTCAAGTCTGTAATTTCCATTCCTAGCCTAATGAGAAACAAATAATTTGTCACATTTATTCCCTTTTCTTTCCAGCAACATTTTGCCTATTCAAAGACTCATTTCATCTCCTGCCTAAACTGACTCATTTCTTTCAACCTCCTCCTTTCAGTGAGTTTTCTAGCCTGCTAATCACTTCTAATCAGTTGATAACTTTCCTGACATACAGTGCCCAAAATCAGATCCAAGTACTTGAGGTGACATTTTCTGTTGAGAACGAAAAAAGAAGGGATGTGAAAAGATGCTTTAGAACAAGTAAATAAATCCTTTTTTTTGTTTTGGTTTTTGCTATGTATTGGTACTGATACATATTCAACATTTTCAGATTGTAAACTTGAAATTTTTTAGCAATGAATGCTTATTTCTGATCTTCTATCTATGAAGTTGATTATTTCCAAGTGTTATCATTTATCCTTCTTGATTTTAAATCACTGCAAGAATCATATTGAATTCTAACTGTCCTTCAAAGTGTTTACAATCTCCTTTCAGCATAGTGTTATACATTAAAGAAGCATTCTCTATTGCGCTAGCCAACTCATTAATGAAAATGTTAAATAGTATCTTCATAAGAACAGAGCACTGCGTAATTTTTAGCACATTCACCCCATTTAAAAGTTCAATAAAACATTTTCACTTTGTTTTGCCAACCACCAATCATTTCCTCAAGATCACATTTGCCTACATTAATTAAGAGAATTTATGGATATAGTTCAGAATGAGCATATTAAAAGGGACATGATACCCTTCTATGAAGAAAAGTTAATTTAAATTATTCTCTGGATAGAATAATACTCTATGAATAGTCATTATTGCCCAGAGTAGTCACATCACATTTTGTCTGATGGGAGCCTTTAAGACTCGAGAGAATAAATTTCAAAATTCAGTATTGGCAATCATATACCACAGTAACATATCTAATCTGAGAAATTTCATATCTAAGGCTTCCTGAAGGCACCTTTGGGGAAGAGTAGTTAGGGCTTGGTTTTTGTGTGGTAATTACTTCAAGTATTGTATAATTTATTAGATTCAATATGTATTATGAAAATGCCAAACTACTTTTCATTAAAGTACACATCATCTCTTAATCTCTTATTTCAATCAAGCATATGAGGACAGAGATATAGGTAAAAAACTAGATGTCTAGAAGGACATCTAATTGGGGAACAGCAAACAACCATCTTTTGTGGCAGTAGGATACTAAACCAAATAGAAATAAAAAGTATCAGAGTTTCTGACTCAGAAAGGGTTGTGAACTTTATTAAAAAAAATCAGTGATGGGAAGCATGAAATAGTGGAGCATCTAAGATTTTCACAGTGTTTGTGACAACAGAAATCTCATTCAATTCTTCCTTAACTTCATAGACTGAGGCCACATCTGTTAGATGTTAAGCCCAGCATGATTTGGATTGTACCCAAGTCAGAACAAGTGTCTGTAGACCTGTTTGTGAAAGATATCTTTTGATATATGTAGAAACAAATTGGCTTGTTCCTAATTCCTGTAAAATGCATGTCTAACTGAAATATCAGCAAACCACAATAATCCCTGTTAACTGTATCCAATACTTTGCTGTTATGTTTGAAGGTCAGAGAATAAATTAGACCATTATATAAAGTACTGGTATTATATATACCTCAATCTTCTGACTAGAACTATTAATATACTTCATAGCTCATGGGTCTGAGTTCTTTTGGGAGGGCAGTATCACATGGGCAGAAAATAAGATGAGAGAAATCTCGCATTTCCTATTGATTTTTCTCTAAAAATAACAATTCTATTTTTAATTATAGCCTCTTTTCCCTGCTAATCAGTCATGACACTCACAGATTAGCTCAGTTTTGAATAAAGTATAAAAATATTTTAACTAAACCCAAATTTATAAACAGACTTCCATAACAAGTGTAGAAAATATATTAACTTGCTCTATTTACGCATTATGCTTATAATGCAAAATCCTTTGATTTTATGAGTAACTCCTCTTTCTGATAAATATCCAATTTTATCAATAAAAACAGTAGTGCAACTCACATCTCCAGTTCTGCTGTAACCATAGTAACTTCAAATAGAGAAGAGCCTTGTGATTATCAATTTGACCAAAGGTAAGGGAGTTCATATAGTTCAGAAATAGCTGTGCTTCAGCAAACTTTGTGAAGGTAAATGTTTTCTGTGCTTGAAATGTCAAAAGTTATAAAAAAAGAAATGTTAAAGATATATGAAATGTCTTTGGATTGGAAGGTCATTGTGAAGAATGTGTTAATAACACCAGCATAGGCGAACTGCCAGAGTTGTACTTTTCAGTTATTTTTTGGTGGCTAAGGCTGAGATCAAATCTTTTCACTCTTTTTTTTGACAGTTTTGTTCTGTCATTCACCTTATTCCATTACAACCACCGATACCCTGAAGCAACCTATTGCTGGGGCTTATTGCTGTGTCTGCCTTTCAACCACAGAGGACAATTGTTGTCAGAATGTCCTTATCCATGCTCAGAAGTAAGGCAGTTTCAATTTGAAGGTCTCTGATGCTCAGGGACCGAGAGCTGGAGGCTCCACTCCCCACAACAGCACCTTTTTCACTGTTTCTTTGCTGCTACTGATGAGTGATGCATGTAGAAGAACATAGGGACGCACTACTCCATTTCCTTTGAAGGGATCACACCAAAATATTCCAGAGTCAGGTTATATTAGAAATCAAAACACAATTCTGACACAAAGGAAACCCTTTCAACAGCAAAACAGTGAAATCTGTTATTTTACACAGATGAAATAACAAGAATTATCATGTCTTTCCCCAAACACATGATAAATGATACCTATTAATCAGAATAAGGGAAAACATAAATCCTGGTGTGATGTTTTACATCAAAGACTAATGAACAGAGAATTTTTGAATTTTAAAATTCTATTTTAAAATTCCTCTTATCTGAAGTCTTGAATTGCAAAACTTTTTCTGCTGGAAATGATAAATTATTGGAAGGAAATATTTCCTGTAATATGAATGATTCACTTGAAGTAACCTTGTTTTTGTCCCTAAAGTTTCTACCTTTTCTTTCTAGAGATGTGAGAGTTTTTTGAGGCATTCCTGAGTATCACAGATATTTAGAGACCGGTCTACAATGCAAAAAAAAAACCCCAACAACACGTTTCTAAGTATATCCAGTCATAAATTCTTCTCTTAATCTTAGTTCAAGTGCTAGTTTTCTATATAAGGAAAACCACAGCATATTAAGATAAATTCTTCTGAATTGATTTTACGGAAAAATCTGTATATTAAAGATCTTCAAATGCTCTTCAAAAATAAACCCTACATAATGCTATGACATTATTTCCTTCTTCCTAACAATATTTGTAACTTTTAGCTGGCATACATTTGTTTACTGCCCTAGTAGTAAAATTCTTCTTTTGACATATGAACATCTACCATTCATTTTTACTATTATGAATAAGGAGCTCAACCAGAACAATTTCTGTCAAGTCAGCAGATCAGTTTTTAACATCTTTTGAAACTTAATTGCTTTCCACAGCCAAGGGAAATTAAATCTCCTTTTGAAATGATCTTATAATCCTACACAGTGAAGAATTAAATAAAGATCAGGTAGCAAATCTGGCAGGAATTTGTTATTTCATCTTAGGACAGTAATTTATTATTCTATCCTAATTCTATAACACTAAGAACATTTTACCAGATTTATTTATTTTTTTAAGCTAGATATCACTTATAAAATCATTAGACTGACTATTTTATGCCCCAGTACATATCAGTTCTCCAGGGTACCATATGTTAACTGATTTTGGAATTCCAATGAGCTCTTTACATGGCTTGAGATTATAAATAACTAGCAAATCCTAGCACACAATGCAATATTTTCAACAGTTTCTACCATTTAATTAAGAAAGGTTAATTCAAAGTACTTTGAGTGTTCGAGGGACTCAATTTTACAGATAAGACTAGTAAATACATTCAACAGCTTAGTATACTGTGAATAGATAACAGAAGGAGCAAGACTGAGTACTAAAAAACTCTTGGACGTGCACAGACACTCTGTATGAGCATAAGATTAATTATAAACTGTTTAGTTCATCACACTAGAAGTAGTTTTCTCAACTGCAGTGTCAGCTTTCTAAGCCTATTTAAAAATCTGGGAGAAGTAATCCTTGTCACTTCTTATTCCTTCCAGCAAAAGAGAAGCTTCTCTTCCTCCCTCCTCCCTCCCCCTGCCAATGATTGTTTCAGATGAATCAGTGGTGATTTAATACTATTATAATCAAAATCAGTGCATCTGTCTTAGATATAATTCTCCTCATAAGTCCACGCATTCATTTGTGAGACTAAATTGTATTGGACTGGAAAATGGGAAAAGAAACTAAGCCAACTGCAAAACTCTATTCATAGCACAATCAAGAAATGTACTTGGAAGCTGTAAGCAGCCTTTTATTCCATAACCAATTTGTTTTCCTAGGTTTTCTTTCTGCTTTCAGTTTGTGTTTTTCTCTTGCTCTGAGGACAGGCTCCAATCATGTGCTAAATCTTATTAAAGTACTTGGGTGATTTTATAAGTGGCAGCATATTGGATGCTTGGATTAATTTGAGAATAACAATTTGATGCAGCTTTTACAGCAATCTACCACAACCAGTTTTGTGGAAATAAGTTGTTTTACACTATATTTTTAAGCCGTCAGAATGATAAATCACAAGTTGAAAGTGTTCTGTTAAATACTGTGTGTTTATTTAAAGAATGAAACAGATTTGTAGAACAATGTTGCTTTCTGTCATTTCTTTTAATAGCCATGAATTTGAAAGATTTATTCATAAGTTTCTCAGAGAAGCTTCTCAAGGGTAGTTAATATTAATGCAGCATGTCATGTGCATCACAAAATACTTTCTGTCCCACTTCCTGTAACAGCTCAACTGAATTATTTTTTCTTTTTTTCTCTTTTTTTTCAAAAATCCAATGTACGTTTGCAGGCTCTGAACTGTGTCTCCCTGTAACAACGTATCAAAAAATCCTTTTCACCTCCTCTTTCACTGTTGTTCCACTGACGCAGAAACCAATGCTTTTGTTTTAATATCAGAGTGCTATTAACATTATCAGTGTAACAAAACCTAGACAAATGTTGGAAACCTACACTTACTCTGAGGTTAGCCCTGTTTTGATTAGGAGGTTGGACTAGAAGATCTACAGATGTGCCTTCAAATCCAAATGATTCCAGAATTTTGTGATTCCAAAATTCACTGAGTCTGTTTCCCAGACTTGGAGATTTACTGTAACTTTAGTCTTTAAACCTCAAGTCTGCAATTTCAAGTCATCCTGTTGGTATGTACCTTATTAGAATTCTATTTAACATGAAACACTGCATTCAAATTGTAAACTGATACCTGATAAATAGTATTTATATGGCCAAATATGAAAGCTACATTTCCTGTATCTTTAAATTGAGTTAGATCACACATGAATGCAACGTCTAAACTATTAACCATGAGGCTTCTGTGTTAGAGCGGTTCTCATATCAGTAATGAGCAGATTGGTGTCCTGAAGACTGAAAACCAACATTTTTCCAGTCTCCCAGCAATTTTATTTATAAAGTTTGTGAGCTAAACATAGATAAACCAGTTACTAAAGAGACCACAAGGGATCTCTGGAGCAAATTTGACTTATGATTATCATAATATCAGACATTTAATAGCTATGGAAATAAAAAAAATCAGAACAGGGACTTTAAACATTTCTAGGGCACATGCAGTTGAGACATTCTTTTTTACTCTTCTGACTTTTGAAAAAGTAATTTATTTAAAATGTTACCTGGATCTGTGGCAGACATCAGAGATCCGAAAAATAAACAGTCAGTGAAGTGGAATTCCCATTCTTTCAACTGGCCAATGTGTACCATGGCCTTCACAAAACCATACATTATCAACCTGTCAGGGGAAAGATAAGATGGCATCCAGACAGAGTATATAACACTTATGCTTAATTTACAGTGTTAATCAGGTTCTTATTCTCTTAGCTTCTTTTAAATAAACATATCAAGTGAATGTTGAACACAAACTGATAGCATATAAAAATTCTATTCCATATTCAAGTATTGTATTAAAATGTCACAGACAGTTCCAAAGCAAAGACTTTTCTGAATAACTGTCATTGCTGGCAGCAGAAGACAATGACTTTAGCTGTTTATTTTTCAAAAGGAAAGATAATGTAAGCTTAAGAAGACATTATTAAGCCTAACTTGGCTAATGTTGTAGAACATTTAAACAAAGGCAGTTCTACTATCAGCTCTATGGGTTGCTCTAATATTTCAAAATGAATAGTTTTATTCTATAAGCCTTTAAATGTTAGCTGTATTCAAAGTTCCAGATAAGGTCTCCAAACGTAACAGATATTTAACAATTTACAATGATAGCAAGGCAATAAAGTCACACTTCAAAATGCACTGCTAAATCCTCACTAGTATCACAGGAAATGCTATCACTGGTTTATATAACTACGTAATGCTATCCAAGATGTATATTCTAACCAGAATCTTGAAATATACAGAAAAAAGAAATTAACTTCTTCTTAGAACCTGTCGTAGATTTTTTAATTTTTATACATTTCCAATTTAGTTAATAAAAAAACCCCATAGCATTTAATACCTGTTCCATAAACACAACACATAAATTGACAACTGCGCTCTTCTAACTACAGGCTTTAAAAAAATAATTTAAGCAGAGCTACATGCATTCACACTTAGCTACATTTGTTTCTGAAGTCATGTAAATGGAGATTTGAGCAACAGATAAAATGCTACAAAACAAACAGCCTAAGAGTTAATTACAAATCATTTTCAGACACTTTACCAAGCTGTAGATTTTCTGAAGTTTTGTAACCTTATTACATTAAGAGGGAAGCAGAGAGTTCACCACAGAATTTCCCAATGGTCCTATGTATTTGTACATGTATTTATATGAGCTGCCTAGCTAAGAGTTCATAGATCATAGAATGGTTAGGGTTGGAAAGGACCTTAAGATCATCTAGTTCCAACACCCAAATTACCCACCAATTGTTCTTAAATAGTTTATCCAATTGTGGGTCTCCTTGATTGATAAGCACACCTTCTCTCCATTCCCAAAGAATAATGATTCAAGACCCTTCAGTGGAGTTAGTCTTTTTATCCCCAGCATGAAGATTTCTGTTAAGGAATGAGTTCTCAAAAACTGACTGTGGTGCTGTATCCTGATTTGCAATTGTCTCAAAAGTCAACAGGAATGGAAGTGAACATATGCATGCCTTTTAGAAATAATTGCCCAAACTTGCTTGATATTTTGACAAATGATTCAGTTATAAATATTTTAAAATAACAAATTAAATTAAGTTTTGACTATCCAGCAAATTTACTTGTGGCAATTGTTTAAACACCTGGTGTGGACATCATCCTGGTCTTTAGCATTCTTTCTTTACACATTACTAAATATTTTCAGTATGCCTCAGTTTACCATCTGTACAGAGTTGCAGATGAACTGGACAAAACCAGATTTGGGAGTCTTTCATTCACATAGAAGGTCTAAGTTTGCGATCAAGTTTAGTACAGGACCTGGTCTTACTTCTTATACCATCCAATTCTTGGCTGCACTGAAATGGGGAATAAAACTGAAGATCAGACCAAATGGTGCCAATTTAGTCACTGAGATGTTAACCTTTATCCATCAGAGAAAGAGAACAGCAAACTCAGAACATGATACCTTTTTAGTTTTTAATTCATTAACCACTTGATACATTTTGGTAATGCTAAAATGGTAAAAGTCCAAATTTTCAAAGAAAAACCCAACTAAGTGCAGACATGCATTTGGAATATGTGAGAAACTGCTGCTTTAAATAAACCACAAGAATCTCTATTTGTACCTCTTCCATCTAGCACATATGAAAACATGCACAGAAATAATTTCCTGTAACATATCTGTTAAAAAGTTGTAAATTGTTAAAAGTGTCAGTGACTGAATTTCCTCCAGAATGTTCCTGTCCCACTAAAATGGGACAACCAGTGCTCAACCCAGTGCTCACTTTTGACAGAGAGCAAGCCATCTACACAAATCAGGTTAATAATGTTAGGAACTCTGAAGAATCTTTTTAGTTCCAATTCCTGTCTGTGAGATCTTTTTTTTTTTTTCACTTCACTTTTTACTTTTTTACTAATCTAGAATGCTAAATTTTATTTTTTTTATTCTTTTAAAATATTAGAACTGAGCTTTTCAAGGAAATAGCAGCTGAGTTGCAAATCAATGTAAACCTTATTTCCAATGTGCTGTGAAATCTGAACGTTAAAATACACCTGCAAAGTCATTTTAATTCATAGACTTTTTAATCTTGTTTCTAATTTATATTGCAAATTCTTTAGGAAAGTGGTTGCTCCATAGACTATGGAACTAACCAGTAAGAAACCGTCCCTGAAGACTTCTCACCTGGACTTAGTGATGGCTCAGTACTGACAGTAATGTTTGTGAATGACTGATTTGGTCATGGATTTGGAGCATTAATAAACTAATAAAATAGAAGAACAAAACTCAGATTAGCTGTGCTGCAGGACAGCTGACATTTTCTCCACCCAAAAAGCTTTTTAAATTGTGGGAGGATCTCATCATGTATTTTGCCACTTCAAGAGGGAAAGAAATCCAGTGATGTAACAAAACTCAGGAGAATTCAGAATTTTCCAGATTATGCAAGTCTGGCAATTACAAAGTGCCTCATCTCTAAAAAATGTTACATATGAAGCTGTCATTACACAGTAGAGGAGATACCACATAAACATTGACCTGCTGAAGTAAGAATCATTTTCTGGCAACCTGCACTGTAAATACCACAATTTCCAGTACAAATCAGCAAGTAGATATAAAATCTCAGTACAGCTACGTAAAATAAACTTTAGCCTGAAAAATAAAACACCAAAGTAAATAAGAGACAGTGAAGAACCAGAGCAAAACCTGTCAGGTTTAATGATTCTGAGTATTGGGTTGTCCTTACATTTTTGAAGCTGGATGGAATTAAGGATTGCCTCTGTGAAAAAAAGGGGTAAAAATCTCTATGTGTAAAAGGTCCAGGTGTTTTACTACCACCAGTTCTGCTGCTACTAACCTTTTATTACCATGCATTGAGGAAAGGAGTTGGGAAAGTACACTGGCTGTCTGGGTACTGCTGGAAGTTCCCAGTGAATGAATTTATAAAGCAGCCATCTAGGAAGGCTGCTCTTGGACTGGCACACTCTTGATCTAGCTGCTGTTTAAACGTAGGGGGAAAAAAAAGGAGTCCTCTCCTAAGGACTTTACAGAGTAATTACTACACAAGAAACTAAATGCTCAGAAGAGCTTTAGGTGCAGCTTAACAGAAACCTATTTTTTTGCAAGAGTTTTCTTTAACACCAGTTGGTTTTAAGGGATCTAAAAAGCGATACTGAAGTTTCTTTGGTTTTTTTTGGGAAGTTCTTATCAGGAAGTTCTAAATAGTGAAACTTCTATCCAGCATTCTGCTAGTAAAAGAGAGATAATTTATAAATTAAAGCAGAGACAAGCAGGGTATGTCTGATGCAGAATAGAATAGGGAGGCTGGAGGAAAGATGCAATGGAGGAAGCTGTCAAGGGACCAGGAGAATGACTTTAACAGAATCATGTAAATAGCCATAAACAGGATCACACAATGTCTGCGAAGGAAAAAGATACTGGAGTCATCTAGACAGGAAAGATGAGAGTCTGGCAAGAGTTTTAGCCACATAAGTGGATGAGAAAAGGCATATAAGGAATATGTCAGTAAGCAGCATACTAGACGTCTAAATATACAATAAAAAAGGCTGTACTGGACTTAAATGCAGCTCATAAAAATACAACCCCAGTTACCAACATTTCTGGGAACACAACGTGTGTCCAAAAGAACTGCTGAGATGGGCTAGATACACACAAACCATGAACAAAGGGGGACAAGATGACAGTGACATGCAGGCTACTTTTGTGATATGAGACAACACAAGCTGAAATATATCTTACAAATCTCTCATGGTAAAAATACGCCTGAATGGTGCAGTCAGGTGAGAAAAGCTGTGCTGAGATTTGTTTCCTAAGAAAAACTGGCCAAATCTTCAGCTTGCAGAAACTGGCATCACAGCACCTATTCCTCTGCATTAGAGCAAACTGAAATATTTATGTCAATAAATACATATTGGCATGCTGGTTTATAGGATACAGCTTCTTAGATGAGCAACTGCATCCTCACATGCAAACTAATTGGAAAACCAATCAGTTCTAAAAGAACCTACTCTTAATTTAAAGCTGTCTAGGACAGAATGTAACAGAAACCGCCAAGTGAAGATGTACAGTACACATACCGTAACCTCAATACAGACAGACATATCTGCCTGATGTTTTTGTCAGCAATTGTATTTTCTTCAGTTTTGTTATTCATTGCAACATAACTACTGAATCTCACTGCTAAGAGTCTTTATTATGTTAAAGGTTTAAAAAGCATAATTCCAAATTTAAGGTGTTTGTACAGTTATACTGTGTAGCATGAATGAGACTCGTAATTTAAATCTTTCTTGCCAAATATATTTTCTAACCTGCAGAGAATTTTTCTTCTCATATTCTAACTCCCTAAAGATTCCTACTCTATCTAGACATGATTATCTTGTAGCCTGAAGCCAGTTGAACATAGCTGCAGATTGTAATCATGCAACCAAAAGATGAAAAAGAACTGAGTTGCATTTCTTTCTTTTCACAAGGAATAGTAATATTAATAAGCCAAGAATAGGAAAAAATAGATTATTTTATTCTTGCGTGTGTATGAAATAGCATAGTGATTGACTGATATCACAACAGTAATAAAAAGTTACTAGTCAGAATTTAAAATACATGCTGGAAAACATGAACAGTAGAGATGAAAATTAAATACACATTCC